CTTCAATGGATGCTGCGGCAGCCGGGCCTGGTTAGGCACTAATTGCAGCCCTGGGTTCAAGCCCTGGGAGAAGCTGGGCTCCCTGGGGGTTGCTCCTGCCCCTGCCTGCTCGGCACTAAGTGCATTCCCCCCCACTTGTTGCAGCCCTGGCTGAAGGCTCAAGGCGTGCAATGGGCTCACCTAAGCTGTAGCAGATGCTTGCACCTCCCGGCTCTATTGTGGTCTGAGCCTGACCCAGCCCGGGCTCCCTGTTCCTGCATGGCCCCAAGCACTGCCAGAGCAGGGCAGGGAGTCAGGGTGAGCCCTGGGCACTGGGGCCTGCCTCGGCCAGGATGCGGCCATGCCGAAGACTGTGGGCTCGGGGTGGTGGAAAGCAAAGGCTCGGCTCCATGCAGCAGCTGCCCCAGGAGCGCCCTGGGTCCCGCACCCCACGGGCTGCCCAGGCACGCGGCCCCCACAGCCCCTCTGCCCCGAGCACACGGCCCCAGGGCAGCGCTGGGTGCAGAGCTGGCCCGACCCGGTGCAAGCGCAGCCCGGGCTGAGCTCTAGGTGCCCCGCCCTTGCCCCCTGCCCGGGTGCTGCAGCAGCCCCAGGGGTGCCACAGCCCTGGGGGTGCCCCCCCGGGATCCTCCAGCAGCTCCAGCCCAGGCCTCGCAGCGCCGGGTAGGGCAGAGCCAGCGAGGGGTCTTGGCAGCCTGGTCTGCAGAGGTGTAGGGGCTCCTCGCTCCCACGCATGTCCACGGTGTCTCCAGCAGTCAGGGCCCCTGCAAGCCCGGTTAGTGGGCCTCAGAGACCAACGGGACCAGAACCAACCCAGGGAACCAGTCCTGCCCTGGGCAAACCTGGTGAAGTCACTCCAGATTGACCCTGTTGCACACAAAAGCAGAACGGGCCCCTGAAGCCCTCTGAGCCTCCTTCCCTGATATTACAAGAAGCTGGAAGTTGAAATGGGCCTGAACCCACACCTCGGGGAAGTCTGGACGCCCGTGTGAAGCTGGATCCCGGCACAATACAAAATGATCCTGGGGGAACAGAGGTCACTGTCCACCAAGACAGCTGGGGAGTGGGAGAGCCGCAGGGTTTATGCACACGGGGGGTGGGGGAAGGCATGCCCGTGGATGCAGGTGCGTGTGTGTGCATTATCTGCACGTGCGTGCGAGTGTGTCAGTCTCTCTGTGCACATACATGAGCTTGTGCGTGTGTTGCTCCATGCTACCTTCAGGTGTCTTTCCTACAACCTGACAAATGCAGCCTGTTTCGCACCTCCCAGAGTCTGTCCCGTCCTTCCTTCCTTTATGCTGCCGCAGGACGGCCCCGTCTCCCTGGGGAGGGGGTGGTGGGTGGGGGCACTGCAGGGGTCAGTCCCTGCGCCAGCCC